CTCTGAGCTTTGAGTAGCTGCCGGGCCGTTAGGCAACCCACAAAAGCACCGGGGTGAATTTGAGCTCGTGCTGAATTTTTCAGGCCTCACCTCCACTTGAACCTTCACCACCGGCACTCTAAGCAGAGCGCCTGATCTAAAGGGGGGACATCACTCCAAAATGATCAAAAATTGCAACTTTTTTTATTAGTTTATATTATAGACCATTCTTTTCTGCGTCGAATGGTGAAAACCGCATTCTGAAATTCAAAAAATTGCAGTTTTAGGAGGTTGTGGGCCGCAAACATGCATAGGGGAAAAGCCCAGTTTTCTCAACTTTGATCGCGTTTTTCTCGGAACATGAAATTACAAACGGTTGCAGGCCTCCAGAGCGCAGTTTTTGAGCTACAGCGGGGAGATTTAGAATGGAAGCTCCTACGACATGCCGCTATGGTGGGTAGCAAAATAAATTGCATTGGTCAATTTTTATTATTTTTCTAACGATCAAAATTGAACAATTTTGACCAAAAAAATTTTACAAATTTTTTTGGTACGTAACAAATACAACTTCAAATGATTTTTTAAATGTGACTGAGGTACCCACCATAGCCAGACATCTCAGGAAGGCTGTCACCAAATTTCGTTGTTCTAGGTCAAACCGTTTGGCGTCCAGCGCTGCAACAGTGCGAAATGGTCTAACCTAACACTCAAAAATGTGTTTTCAACGAAAGCGCTGTACTGCCATGGCGGATTGACTTTGTATTGTTTTATACTTTATCTGTTAAAATATGAACATTTTTTCTCTTTCCGTTTGGTTTTTATGACGGTTTTACAAAAGCACTGTTTTTGGAGTGATGTCCCCCCTTAAGAAGGTATGAAAACGACGCTGTTTCAGCTGAGGCGTGCAACTTCTTTCGGAGGCAACGCTCGAGCCCTTTGCGTTCAAGAGGCAGCGATCTTTGTCCCCTCCTCCGGCGAGGGGACGTAAGCGTGCGCTTGCTTGTGTTCTTCCGTTTCAAGAGTCGCAGAAATACCCTGTTAAGATTTTATATATTGTCTATCTGAGAAATGTTGCGTAACGTTTCGCTGTAAGGAGTGGGGGTTCTGGCCCAGCGTAACGCTGCGTAACATGGTGGACGGGGGTCTTAAAATGCCCTCACGTGCGTAACATACTTAATGGACGGCCCCCACTGATCAGCGGTTAGTTTTCTGACAGTTCACAGTACCGGCCGCTAGCTGGCGCGCAGCTGGTGCCTGTATTTTTTATTACTTTTATTCTTTAGTCGACGACGACTGAAAGGGTTTAATGACAGTTTTAGACGTTGTCGACGGTAGATCATGAAGATTTAAAGATCCGGAAATGGAATGGAGAAATCAGTTATCTTGGTTGTAGGGGGACTTTTGGACTTTTGCTCCGCTCTCCCTTTTAGTCCGAAGTTACTGCTTGCTCTTTTGATAAGGGTGAAGTGTAGTGTTACGCAGCACTGTAAAAAATATAAATGGAAATTTCGTGCTGTGGGCAATGAAACGCCCTATCTAATGTCCCCGGACTGCAAATTTCCTATTGCTTTGGGCACTGAAATTCGCGATTCTATGGAATAGCAATTTTCAGGCTCCTGTGGGCAACGAACGCAACCGCCCTTGCCCAAAAAGGAAATTTCCTATTTGGGCTACGAAAGCTACCACAGTTGCCCACAGTTGAAATTTCGGTGTGTGGGCAATGGAAGACCCCAAGTCTCATGAGGCTTACATTGAGCTAGAAAAAAAAGTCCCGCCGCGAGCCGAACCCAAGACTCTGTATTGAAGGCCGCCCTCGCTAACCACTACGCTGCCCCTTCGCCTGTCAGCCGAAGTGTCGTTAGTCCTAGTGACTCCACCAAGTAGGTGGCCGCCTCCTCCTTGAGCTGCTCACCTCACGGAATTTCCTGCTGTGGGCAAGCCAAGCAGCCCTTCCTTGCCCACAATAGAGATTTTCAATTGTGTGGGCAATAAAGTGAGTACAGGTCGTTACTGTGTCTGAATTTTCCTGTTCCAATGGGGAACGAAATTTCCTTCTGTGGGCAGGCAATGCATGCTTTCCATGCCCAAACATGAATTTTCATGTTTGGGATGCTAAATTTCCTACTCCAATCTGCCAAATTTCCTACTCCAAATGAACATTAAATTTCCAGTTTGGGCAATGGAATGTCCCTTTCAGTGCCCACTGGGCCAAAAATGACACTTTCCTGCGGGGGCAAGTGAATTTACTTGCCCAATGGCCTAGGAAATCTCCACGAATTTTCTAGACAATAAGTAATGTTATTTAGTATATTCACGCAGCATTTAGACTCACAGTACAATTATAATTTCGAAATTCCAAATTCTGTCTCAAAGTGCCCCACTCTCCTTCATTCCATTGGATCTTCCAACGGTGGAAGAATTAACGTGAGCGGCGCTGACAGCGTCTGCGCATGCCGAGGGGCAAACAACTTGAATTTTGGTGTACATTTTCCTTGAAATAGCGATGAAATAATGGTGAAGTAACGCGAAATAACGTGAAATACCGTTGAAATATCGCTGTAATAACAATGAAATGTCCCGAATTTGAAATTATCTTCAGTTTTAAGATTCATGAGACTCCCCTTCGAGGTTCTCCCTCGCAATATGCCCTTGTCGGCGCTGCGTGTCCCAACGTAGCAACAGAGTGTTCCAAAGCAGCTCCGCCCTGGAAGCGAAACTAACCTGGATATTGGAAATAGCAGTGTCTGAGTCAAATATACGCTGCGGATGACCTCCTGACCTCGTCCGCCTCGTACAATTTTCTGAGAAACTTCAATATATCTGACTTCCGTTTTGGTTTTCCTTTCTTCACTGTGAAACCAAGTGGAGGGAAGTCCGCCATGACCATATTACATTTTATTTCCTCTTACCCTGTTGAGCATCAATTACATTAATTGTAGAAGAGTTCCAGTGGGATGGAGAGGGAGAGGCCCTTAGAAGTCTAAAGGACGAGGGCTGAATCACTAGTGTCCTCATGTGTACAAATAGGCCCGAACTCAGTGTACTTTAAGTTTAAAAAGGGCGAAATTCGCTAGTTTTTCGACCGATTTGGCGATGAGTGCCGTTTAAAACGCCGAATAAAGCCTCTATATGTTTTCAAATGTGAAATTTATGAGTGAAGCAACACGGAAAAAAGGAATTCGTTGACCCAACGTACGTTGATTCCGCGATAACCGAAAATAATTTGTTTGAGTAACGGAAAGTTTGTTCGCGTAACGAATAATTTGTTGGTCCGACGAACAATTCGTTGGCGGAGCAAAAAAGTTAGTTGGAGTGACAAAATCATGACTTTGTTCCTTTGACGGATATTTTGGTTGCGCTAACAGATTGTTAGTTTTGCCATCAAAAATTTTGTTACTCTAACAAAGTTTTCGTAACTCAAACAAATTTTTTCGGTTATCACGGAATCAACGCACATTTTCGTTGGGTCAACGAATTCCCCTTTTCCGTGAAGGTGTACTCACCTGGACTCATGCGTACATCAGAACGCAGAGTGATTCACCCCTCGCCAAAGGATCCCTTCATGCGGGCAACTGAACAGGGTAAATTAGGGGGAGGTGCTCAAATCAGCGGTCGTGGGCCCACATCCTCTCTTACTGGAGGTTTTCACTGTTAATATCTGCCTAGTATCACGCGCTTATTTTCCTAAAATAGCATTATATTGTACCAATTGCGCGTTGATACGCGTCGAACCGAGTGAATGGACTTCAGTACGCATTGTGTTGCACGTACGTATGCACACTAAATGTTTAGTTAGCATTTTGTTCGTGCAACTTGCACGATTTTGTGCATACGTGGAAACTGCACGATATCATGCGTGAAGATGCTTAAATTTATGCAAACTCACGCACAATTTTATGAACGACGGTACACAAGTTTCAAATTATGCATCACCACGTACAAAATATTTCATAAACTTAAGGGAGGGTGGGGCACCTAGTGACACTTTTTGGATTTTGGCACTCCGATACTGTGCGAGAAATGAATCTGCTTGGCACCTAGTGACAGGTCATTTAACTCACATTACCAGCATAGAGCGACGCTCCAGCTAATTGAAAACTATCCGTTTTCGGCTCTTTAAGCTTTTTAAATATCAAACCATTCTGAACGGCGCCATTTTCCCCAAGAAACTGCATTTTACTACATTGCCAATCAAATTCAATGTTCTACGAAATTGTCGTACAAATTAGTCTCATTTATGTTACGTTGTGTGACAATCGGTGACAATTTACTTCGCGGTTGCCAAATCGATGTTTCGAAACGTTGAAATCGTTGAAATACGGTAAATAGAGTGTGCCTGTCACTACCTGCCCCGGGGGCTCATTTTCGTTCAAAATTTGATATTAAGGAAATGAAATCACCTGTTTGAGCTGGTTCAGCGAAAACAACTTACTAAAGGTCCTTATTATTGATTAAAAGTGCCAGAACGATCGGCAGTGCCGTTAACTGGAAGAATGGCGAGAAAACATTTTGTAAAAAAGTCGTAAAATCTGTGATTTTGAGTAATTATTTGCTTGCTTTTATTCTAGGGGCTAAAATATTTTGTTCAAAGTATCACTTTCACTTGAACATGATTCCACACGATTCCACAGCACAAGACCTTTAGATTAGCCACCTCAAGGTGTCTGAAAGTGCCATAGGGTGGCCAGGGCACCCCTGTGTCACTAGCTGCCCCTGTCACTAGGTGCCCCACCCTCCCTTAAGTGTGTGGGCTACAATTTGCGGCATTACGTTCAAAGAACGCCTGTTACGTCCGACCTTCGGAGCGGTACGCTAGTTGTAACCTGTTCGGTTGGGCCTACATGCACCTCCGAAGCCCATTCTTGATTTCCATCGGTTTGCCTGTTTCTGCACGGTAAAAACGGAACCTGGTTTTCCTAGGAAGCCCATGGTAGAGATATAGGCGATTTCCAGGGAGTTCCTGGGAAAACCAGGTTCCGTTTTAACCGTGTGTCTCTGAACACATTATGTTACTTTCCCTCATGAACGCAACTGTTTTTGCTGTGTTGCAGGATCGAAGGTCGGTGCAGTCCTCGAAGCCCCCTTCCTAGACTCCAATCTGATTGCCTGTCTGAATGAACCAACTTTGTTGCCTTGTTTCATGCGTAACTTTTTTTGGTGTTTCAGGATTGAAGCATGGTGCAAAGAGGCGGTTCTTTCCTTTTCCTGTGACCTCATCCGCATGCTTTGAGAACACACTTTGCACATAGTGACGCTTAATTGTAGCATGGCTTGCTTACGCCGGTCAGTGAGAAGTTCACTGCGCAGTCGGACACTTTCAAGGTCCCGCCCAGATTTTCCTTTGTACTACAAACAAAACGCTCAGTGTTGCGACAGCGAAGCGTAAGCTAAGCGCAGCGCAGGTACACCTACGGTGTAGGGTTCTCGGTGTCAACCAAACTCTTCACATTACGAGCATCTTTCTCATTGTTGTCAGATTCGAGGGGGCCACCACCCCCGTAATCCTGTGTACAAATTGGTAATCTCTGGTAATCCATGGCGTCATCACGTAATCCTTGACAAAATTCTGTCATTTTTCAACGTTTTTGAGCTATTTTTCAACGTTTTCGAACCAATTTTCGAAAATTTCACGAGTAATCCCTAGTAAATTTCCCGTAATCCCGTAATCTTGTGTACGCCTGAAATGAGAGTGGTGGCCCCCTCGGTCAGATTTGTATCCTGAAGTACTGAGAATTATCGTAGTAATTAGACTGCATGGCATTATACTGTGGGAAACGGGAAGTCTGGTAGTGCATGTGGTGTTGGCCGAGTGACAGCTTAGGTAGTTTTCACTGCGAGCAGTTGGTATGGCGTATAACTCACTGCGTGACTTGAAAAGCAAATGGTGTTTTGCTTGCAGGCGCCGTGAAGGCCGAGCACCTGGAGGCCCCCGAGTCTGGAGGGCGGCACTGCGGAGCGGACGGCGGGTCTGGAGGCGAAGGTGAGTGGAGTCTTGGCGGAGCAGTCATGGGCACGCCGCGGGCTGCGGGGGTGGATGTTCATTCGATTTCAATGAAATCAATTCCAGTTTCACCCAAAAATACCGGACGTGCTCGTTGCCTGATAGGTGCCAGTGGATTGGTCTGTCGTCTGTCTGGTTGTCTTACTTCGCAGGATTGGCACTTCCCATTGTCCTTCGCTAACCCGTTCTGCCCCCGACGCGGCGTTGCAGGCCCCGTCCCGGCGGAGACCCCGCAGCTGGTCATCAGCGGCACCTTCTCGCTGGCTGGCCCGGCCGGCGGTGCGGGGCAGGTGGAGCAGGCCTCGCGGCGGCAGCGAGGCGGGAAGGCGCGGCTCGCGTCCAAGTGCGGAGAGTGCGGCAAGAGTTTCCGGGCCGAGGCGGACCTGCGGAAGCACCTGGCGGGGCACTCCAAGGCGGGGCGGCACGCGTGCGGAGTGTGCGGCAAGCAGTGGACTAAGGCTGCGAATCTGGAGAGGCACTCCAGGATCCACACCGGGGACAAGCCGTACCAGTGTGACGAGTGTGGGAATAAGTTCAATCAGGAAAGTACTCTTACGAGGCACAAGAGGATCCACACTGGAGAGAAGCCGTACCAGTGTGACGTGTGTGGAAAAAAATTTCCCCGGAAACATCATCTCGGTCAGCACAAGAGGATTCACACTGGCGAGAAGCCGTATGAGTGCAACGTGTGTGGGAAGAAGTTCAACCAGAGCCCACATCTTATTGTGCACAAAAGGATCCACTCTGGAGAGAAGCCGTACGAGTGCGAAGTGTGCGCGAAGAAGTTCTCTGATCCCTCAGCTCTACACCACCACAAGGGCATTCATGCTGGACAGTAACCCAGGGAGAAGCTGTGCTAGTGTGTCGTTTATTGACGAATGTCAAGGCTTTGGAGTGTGACGTGTGAAGAAACCTTCCTCTGGTATTTCAGTACGTGCTCGTAAAAGCAGTAAGTTCATAATTTCAGTTGAATTACGACGTATGACAGTGCATGTGAGTGTTCGGTGAAAGAAGCCATGTTTGTGAAGTTTTGCCATAGTCCACTTCGTTGTTCGAAACATTTCTAAACCTGTTTTTGAGTGCGGCAAAGCACCGTAGTGCAGTACTTTGGATCCGGTTACAACCGTTCTCATGATGTCAATGTTTAGCTGCTCATTTTTATTGTCTTAGTTCCTAGTCTCCTGTTTGTGAATTCTGTCTTATATTCTTGTGCTCTGCGAACACAAGAGCATTCAAGTTCATCAAGTGTAAGTGCTATATTTCTTGACGAGTTTTAAGGTCTTGGAGTGTGATGTGGGCAGAAAGAAGTTCCCTCTAAAATTTAATTCCATGCACGTTACAACTTAAAGTTCATAATTTTGGTTGTACTCCTGCAAAGTCTGTTGTCTTGGTAGTAATGCGGTCAAGTTAAAAAGTGTATTAAATCTTGTTATATTCTTGTATTTATTTGTCTGATAATGTTTCTCTATAAAAAAATCTGAGTCAGTAACAAATGTAATTTTTCTTGGAAGCACTTCTGTTTATGATCAGGATCTAGGGTTCAAGTTGTTTCAACCAAATGCCTGAACTCGCAATAAGTTGAGGTGTCCGTCGGCTTGGATTTCTTGTTCAAAATCATGTGATATTACCGAAACAAGTATAGCTTGGACGTTAGAGGTTTCGGTGAAAGAAGCCAATTATTTGTGAGTTTCTTCATGGTCCGCTAAGGTGTGCTGAACAATTCTCGACGTGTTCACAAGTACAACAGAGTACCGTCGTGCTGTATATTGGAATTAGTTCCAACCGTTTTCAAGATATTAATTTTTTGCTGCCATTGCCATTATTTCTTAGACTCCTAATTCTGAATTCTGTCTCGTGTGCTGTTGCAGGACCGGGGCTGTTCTAGCGTAGAAAGATCGCCGACTTCCTTGCACCATGTGATAATCACTCCAATGGAGAGACAAGCTACGGGAGCCGCACACTTGAGGGGCTTTTTCCCAACGTGGGCTTATGAATGTGGAAAGAGCCTTCAGTAGTTTTCAGAGCAGTGCAGTATTATGTGTACCTCATTACTTTAATGTACTAAAAGTCTGATAATTTGCTCACTCTTTCTTATTAAATTGCAATAACCGAGTATGTTCAATTACAGCTTCTCAGGTGGCTTTGCTGGGCAGGTGTTTTGCATGGCTTCTGGCATGGGTTGGCCGTGGCGTGTTCCTGTGGTTCGCTGGCCGAGTCTCTCCGCGTCCACGGCTTCCTGCGGCCCAGCCCGCCGCGAGGACTGGGAGACTCGCCCGGCGTTGGCCGCACGTTTTGGCTGGCCGGTTTCTGAAGTCCGCCTTGCTTGCAGGTTCCGTGAAGGCGGAGGACCTGGAGGCGCCTGGAGGACGCGACTGCGGAGCGGACGAGGACGCCGGCCCTGGGGACCAAGGTGGGTGGAGTGGCGACGCGTGGACCGCCGCGGCGGGCAGAGGCACGCTTTCTTGCACAACTTGAGCAACCAGTCCATTTAGCTTTGCAATCTGGGCGTTGCTTTTCGCTGTTTTAACTTGAATTAATTTTTCCTCTGTGCGATGCTGCGCTGCGTGGTTGAACGGGAAACGTTTCTTAGGACGGCTCAGTACCGCCTTGTTGCTTGCAGGCACCGTGAAAGGCGAGGTCCTGGAGGCCCCCGAGACTGGAGGGCGGCACTGCGGAGCGGACGGCGACTCTGGAGGCGAAGGTGAGTGGAGTCTTGGCGGAGCAGTCCGGGATGCCGCCTGCGGGGCGGAAGAACACTCTAAATGTCTTACAATGAAATTTGACCTATGTTTTTCGTAGGTTATAGTGGATTCAGCGCAAGCATAATACGAAACAATATTTCTTAGTAATACGAATCTTTTCAGCTTTTTCATTGTAAGATACTTAAAGAAACCTTCGTAATAGGAAGGAAAGCCACCTTTGTATTATGCTTGCGCCATTTTCTTTGTATTATTGGAAATTTCTTCGTAAGACATTTAGAGTGTAATTTTTAATTCGTTGTACATTCCAGCTTCTTCAAAGAGTAGCAGACGAGCTCCTTGCCTGATGGGGCTCAGGTGGATTGGTCCTGCTGTCTGGTTGTCTTACTGGGATTGGCGCTTGGCTTGTCCTTCGCTAACTCGTTCTGCACCCACTCGGCGTTGCAGGCCCCGTCCCGGCGGAGACCCCGCAGCTGGTCATCAGCGGCACCTTCTCGCTGGCTGGCCCGGCCGGCGGTGCGGGGCAGGTGGAGCAGGCCTCGCGGCGGCAGCGAGGCGCGAAGGCGCGGCTCGCGTCCAAGTGCGGGGAGTGCGGCAAGAGTTTCCGGGCCGAGGCGGACCTGCGGAAGCACCTGGCGGGGCACTCCAAGGCGGGGCGGCACGCGTGCGGAGTGTGCGGCAAGCAGTGGACTTCGGCTGCGGATCTGGAGAAACACGCAAGGATCCACACCGGGGAGAGGCCGTACCAGTGTGACGTGTGTGGGAAGAAGTTTAACCGAGAAGGCAATCTGACTGTGCACAAGAGGATTCATTCTGGAGAGAAGCCGTACCAGTGTGGCGAGTGCGGGAAGAAGTTTAGTCTGCAAAGTAATCTTACAAGGCACGAGAGGATCCACACTGGAGAGAAGCCGTATGAGTGCAAAGTGTGCGCGAAGAAGTTCTCTGATCCCTCAGCTCTACGCCGCCACAAGGTCATTCATGCTGGACAGTGACTTTGGGATAAGCTGTGCTAGTGTGTCGTTTCTTGCTTAAGGCTTTGGAATATGTCGTGTGTATAACGTACTTTCTTTTGATATATCTCATGCTCGTGAAAGCTATCAGCTACTAATATTTGTTTAATTTTGCAAAGTCTGTAATCTTGTTTAACTATTCCCTCCTTTCTTGTATTTTTGTGTCATGTAACTAGTGTTCGTTGATGATAATCAGTTATAATCATAAGTGCTTTTCTCTTTTGAAGACTTCGGTTTTTGTGAAGGTTATTCGGTTCAAACTGTTCAAATCGCTCTAAGTTGTGATGTCGCTCCGGTGAAAGAAGCCTTATTTGTAAAGTTTTGTCAGAGTCCACTTCGGTATGTACAACATTTCTCGAAGTGTTCTCGAGTATACCGAAGCATCGTCGCGCAGTACTTTGGAATCTGTTTCAACAGTTTTTATGTTGTCAATTGTTTTTTTGCTGTTAACTCCTACTGCAGTAATTTTTTTCCTGTTTGTGAGTTCCGTCCTGTACTGGTGTGATAAGTGAACACATGTGCCAAGTGCAAGAGCCACATTTCTTGCGAAGTGTAAAGGCTTTGGAGTGTGTTGGGGCAGAAAGAGGTTCCCTCCGAAATTTAATTCCATGCTCATAACAACTTTGTGTTCATAATTTTTGGTTGTACTCCAGTAAAGTGTGTTGTCTTGGTAGAGCTTTTCTTGTTTTTTTCTTTTGTGTCGGATAACAAAGTATTTATTGATGAAAATATAGGTCACTAACGTATCTAATTTTTATTGGAAACAATTCTGTTTTTGCTACAAGGTTTTACGGTTGAAGTTGTTTAAACAAATGCCTGGGCTCGCCAAAACTAAGGGGGTCCTTCGTCTTGTTGTTGTTGATTATCATCGTGTTAGAATCCCGAAATAAATAAAAACATTTTTCGGCGTGTTATCGCGCATTCTATGAGTACCGTCGTGCTGTACTCTGTAATATGTTCCAGCCGTTTTCATGATGTCAATTTTTTGCTGCTTTTGCCGTTATCTCTTAGACTTCTGTTTCTGCATTCTGTCTAATATTTGCTTGCTGTTTTAGGACCAGGGCCGCGTGCGAGCGTAGAAAGATCGCCGACTTCCTTTCACACTTCGGTGGCTTTTTCCGAGCATGCGCCTCACAGTGTTAAACGAGCCTTCATTAGTGTTCAGAGCAGTGCAGTATAATGTGTACCTCTTTATTTGAAGTTATTAAAAGTCTGATAATTTGCTGTCCCTTTCTTGTTTAATAGCAATAATCGAGTATGTTCAATTACAACTTCTATGGTAGTTATGCTGGGCAGGTGTTTTGCATGGCTTCTTGCATGGGTTGGCCGTGGCGTGTTCCTGTGGTTCGCTGGCCGAGTCTCTCCGTGTCCACGGCTTCCTGCGGCCCAGCCCGCCGCGAGGACTGGGAGACTCGCCCGGCGTTGGCCGCACGTTTTGGCTGGCTGGTTTCTGAAGTCCGCCTTGCTTGCAGGTTCCGTGAAGGCGGAGGACCTGGAGGCGCCTGGAGGACGCGACTGCGGAGCGGACGAGGACGCCGGCCCTGGGGACCAAGGTGGGTGGAGTGGCGACGCGTGGACCGCCGCGGCGGGCGGAACGCTGGCACGCTTGCACGCTGGCACGCTGGCTTGCACTACTTGCAGACTTAATAAGCGGTTGATCCTATGTGCCGACACACTTCGTCGAAGTTCAGCCAGTGTAGAGTTCAAGACCAGAGAAGTGCAGCAGCTTTTTTGTGACAGTTGAGGGACGTTTCACTGTAAAACCAAACGTGGACAACTCCACATTTGAAATGCAGAGGTGTGGAATTTTCAGTCTCCACACTTGGAAGTGCAGAGTTTGCAGCCTCCACACTTCAAACGTGGAGTTGTCCACGTTTGCACCATGCAAAGAGATAAGGGCTTTGTGAGCTACTCCACACTTCAAGCGCGGAGGCTGCGTACTCTGCACTTCCAAGTGCGGACACTTACTCCACACCAGGAAGTGTGGACTTGTCCACGTTTGATTTCAGTGTAGACACCGCACCAACGTTTTACAAGCAACGCGTTTTAAAAATGAGGCGATCTGGCCATGACATATGAACTTCTAGCACACTGCTTTACCGCTTTCAAGAAATATTGCCAAGGTGTTGGCTTGATTCAGCAACTTTCTTCTGTACTTTCTAAAACACACCCGAAGACCTTTCTCTGTGATATCCAATCAGCAACGTGCGTGACTTCCATGTTTCTTAAGCATTACGTATGAACCTGCGTTCGAAGGGCCTGGAAATTGTTTTTTTTCTTTTCCAAGTGAGTGCCAAGGGTGGCTCAGTAACGCGTTGTTGCTTGCAGGCGCCGTGAAGGGCGAGGACCTGGAGGCCCCCGAGTCTGGAGGGCGGCACTGCGGAGCGGACGGCGACTCTGCAGGCGAAGGTGAGTGGAGTCTTGGCGGAGCAGTCCGGTATGCCGCGGGCTGCTGGGGTGGACGTAGATTCAATTGCAGTGAAAAACATTCGTAAGCTTTATGCAATGAGGTAAAGTCTAGTTGCACTACTGAGGGCTTGAGAGGCTGACGAGCTCCTTGCCTGTACGACCTTTCTTTCGGTGATACATTTGTGGACGACGTGTTTTTCTGTGATACATTATAGTATCACCCTGTTTCGGTGAGACATTTCTTTCTCGCCCCTCAGAGTGATTGCATTTTCAGTGCGGTTGTCTTCCTTCTCAGGATAGGCACTTATCGTTGTCCTTCGCTCACCCGTTTTGCACCCGTTTTCACAGTAAAAACTCTACGAAGAATCGCTTCGTAATACGAAGAAAAAGCCTTCATTTTCTTCGTAGTTATGAAGCAAATCCTTCGTAGGCTTTAGAGAGTGTTGGTGTTGCAGGCCCCGTCCCGGCGGAGACCCCGCAGCTGGTCATCAGCGGCACCTTCTCGCTGGCTGGCCCGGCCGGCGGTGCGGGGCAGGTGGAGCAGGCCTCGCGGCGGCAGCGAGGCGGGAAGGCGCGGCTCGCGTACAAGTGCGGGGAGTGCGGCAAGAGTTTCCGGGCCGAGGCGGACCTGCGGAAGCACCTGGCGGGGCACTCCAAGGCGGGGCGGCACGCGTGCGGAGTGTGCGGCAAGCAGTGGACTAAGGCTGCGGATCTGGAGAGGCACGCAAGGATCCACACCGGGGAGAGGCCGTACCAGTGTGACGAGTGTGGGAGGAAGTTCAGTCAGGAAAGCAATCTCAGTGTTCACAAGAGGATTCATACTGGAGAGAAGCCGTATGAGTGCGACGTGTGTGGGAAGAAGTTTAACCAGAGCCAACATCTTTCTTCGCATGAAAGGATGCACACTGGAGAAAAGCCCTACGAGTGCGACGTGTGCGCGAAAAAGTTCTCTAATCCCTCAAATCTACGCCGCCACGAGTGCACTCATGCTCGACAGTAACCCAGGGAGAAGCTGTGCCAGTGTGTCGTTTCTTGACGAATATTAAGGCTTTGGAATGTGACACGTGTAGAACGTACTTTCCTCTGATATTTCAGTGCGTGCGCTCGTGATGGCTATTAGCAACTAATTTCAGTTCCAATCTGCAAAGTTTGTATTTTTGGTAAAACTATTTCTGCTCTTGTATGTTTGTGTCATCAAAATTGTGTGCGTTCATGATAGTGAGTTATAATAATAAGTGCTTTTCCCTTGTGAAGACTTTTTTTTGTGAAGGTTATTCGGTTTAAGCTATTAAAATCCATCCCGTGTTCTCGCTCCATGTTTGTGATAGCCCTCGGCTTGACTTGTTGAATTGACAGCATCTGGCAATTTAGAAATATGTGAAGATTAGGCGTATGAGCGTTTGGTGAAAGAAGCCATATTTGTGAATTTTTGTCATAGTCCACTTCGGTGTGCAAAACTTTTCTTGACGTGTTTTCGAGTACACCTAAGCACCGTCGTGCAATACATGGGAATCTGTTACAACCGCTTTCATGATTTTAATTATTTCTGCTGCTTACTCTTAATCTCCTGTTTGTAAATTCTGCCTTGAATTTGTCTGCTATGTTCACTCAAGTGCACCAAGTGTACAGGTGCCACATTTTTTGACGAGTGTGAGTGTGATGCGCCAGAAAGATGTTCCCTCTCAAATTTTATTCCATGCTCGTAACAACTTTATGATCATAATAGGGTACTTCGGAGAAAGCCTAGACCGGAAGTCAGCGACAGAACGGGAGAAACAAAAGAGCATCGCGCGGCCGTGCTGAGCGGTGGTGGGGGTCGAAATCGGCGGAGTGGGGGTGAAGGCGGCGCGCGCATACTACCCCCACTCTGCCGATTCCGGCCCCCCCCACCGCTCAGCACGGCCGCGCGATGCTCTTTTGTTTCTCCCGTTCTGTCGCTGACTTCCGGTCTAGGTTTCCTCCGAAGTACCCTATTTTGGTTGTATACTCCTGTAAAGTCAGTTCTCTTGGTAGAACCGCCGTTACGTTAAAGAGAGTATTAAGTCTTGTTCTTTTCTTGTTTTATTTTTTTGTGACGGATAACAAAGAATTTCTTGATAAAGTCTGTTTCAATAACGAATTCAATTTTTCTTGTGAACAACGTTGTTTTTTGTAAGGTTTTTATGGTTGAAGTTGTTTAAACCCAAGTTCCTTTCCTTACAGTAAGTAAGGGTGTCTGTCTTTTGTAGTTCAGCATTAAGTGAGAATGCTGACATAAGTTTATACGTAGATGTTTTGATGAAAGAAGCCGTAACTGTGAGTTTCGTCACGGACCTCTCCGGTGTGTAGAACATTTCTCGACGTGTTCGCGAGTACAACATATCGTACTGTCGTGCTGTACTTTGGAATCTGTTCCAGCCCTTTTCATGACGTCAACTTTTGCAGCTTTTGCCATTTTTTCTTTGAATCCTGTTTCGTCATTCTGTCTTATATATGTGTGCTGTTTCAGGACCAGGGCTGTGCGAGGGTAGAACGATCGCAGACTTCCTTGCACTTCTTAGTGGCTTTTTCCCAGCATGCGCTTCCCACTGTCAGGCGAGCCATCAGTAGTGTACAGAGCAGTGCAGTACAATGTGTACCTGTTTATTTGAAGTTAATAAAAGTCTGATAATTGCTGTCCCTTTCTTGTTTATTTAATAGAAATACCTGAGTATGAGTACCTAATTATTTGAAGTTGAAAAAAGTCTGATTATTTGCTGTCCGTTTCTTGTTTAATATCAGTACATCAGTATGTTTAATTACAACTTCTATGGTAGTTCTGCTGGGCAGGTGTCTTGCATGGCTTCTGGCATGGGTTGGCCGTGGCGTGTTCCTGTGGTTCGCTGGCCGAGTCTCTCCGCGTCCACGGCTTCCTGCGGCCCAGCCCGCCGCGAGGACTGGGAGACTCGCCCGGCGTTGGCCGCACGTTTTTGCTGGCCGGTTTCTGAAGTCCGCCTTGCTTGCAGGTTCCGTGATGGCGGAGGACCTGGAGGCGCCTGGAGGACGCGACTGCGGAGCGGACGAGGACGCCGGCCCTGGGGACCAAGGTGGGTGGAGTGCCGACGCGTGGACCGCCGCGGCGGCCGGAACGCCGGTACACTGTCTTGCTAAGCTTGAGCAACCAGTCGATTTAGCTTTGTAACCTGGGCGGTCATTTTCACTGTTTTAATTTGAATTACTTTTTCTTCCATGCATTGCTGCGCTGTGTGGTTGAACGGGAAACGTTGTTGCGAACCGTATCCGTGTCACTCGTGTAAACTTGGAATGTCGTTTTGAACGCGAGCCCTCGAACCCCGTCGCCGCACAGTCGGTGTAGAGTGCGAGTCCTGAGTAGTGCAGCAGCTTTCATTTTGTGATTGTTGAGGGTTGCTTGGACACAGCGCCGGCCGAGTAACTGCAAGGAACGGATTTCATGCAAGGGGCGAGCCTTGCAACCACGACATGTTACATAGCATGCCGCATTCAGGAAATATTGCCTGGTTTTGCCTTGCATTAGCATTTTTCTTCGGTACCTTTGAAACACACACGAAGACATTTCTCTGTGCTTTCCAATCAGTAACTTGCGTGACTCCTCTACACTAAATCACTATGTTGGTGGTGATGCACGATTTTAAACCTGCGTGACGTTTTGCGTAAAATTGTTCACAAATTTGCATAAATTAATGCATTTTTACGCATAATATTATGCAAATCTCCCGCATGCACAAAATCGTGCAAGTGGTACGTACAAAATTCCACATAAACATTAAGCGTGTATGCATTGCGTATGAGCCTGCACTGAGATTCCGAACGCTATGAGTATAGCACGTATGGTGCAAAACAGCTGAGATATCGCACCATACGTGCAATGCCTCAGACATTTTGCACCTTACGTGCAGTGCATCCCGAAAATGCCCTATGCTAATGCATGGGAATGGGGAGGCATTGCACTAAGTGTGCAATGCTTTTGCATTGCACCAATTGACGCTATACTCATAGCGTTTGGATTCTCAGTGTGGGTTCGAAGGGCCTGTAAATGGCTATTTTTTCCAAGTGAGTGGCAAGGACTGCTCAGTAACGCCTTGTTGCTTGCAGGCGCCGTGGAGGGCGAGGACCTGGAGGCCCCCGAGTCTGGAGGGCGGCACTGCGGAGCGGACGGCGACTCTGGAGGCGAAGGTGAGTGGAGACTTCGCGGAGCACTCTGGAATGCCTCGGCCTGAGGGGGGGGGGGATACTGATTCAATGAAACAGTAGGGACCAGTTTCACCGGAGAGAATCCGACGAGCTCCTTGCCTCAACCACTGCTAAAATCTGTTGGCACCATTTGACAGAATCGTGAGTGGTGGATGACATCGTCATCACTTGCAAAGTAGTGCATTTTCACTAGGACTCCTACTGCACGGGGCTGAGAATTTTGTCATGACATCCTTCAAAAGGAAACTTGCCTTAAAATCGTCTTTAAGTGAAAGCCAAATATATTTTTAGTAAATCTATCCAAAAGTGTTGTTTCGACTATCCTGCGGTTATATACTTTCACAGGACTGACATTTTACTTTGTCTTTCTCTTGCCCATTCTGCACCCCACTCGGTTTTGCAGGCCCCGTCCCGGCGGAGACTCCGCAGCTGGTCATCAGCGGCACCTTCTCGCTGGCTGGCCCGGCCGGCGGTGCGGGGCAGGTGGAGCAGGCCTCGCGGCGGCAGCGAGGCGGGAAGGCGCGGCTCGCGTACAAGTGTGGGGAGTGCGGCAAGAGTTTCCGGGCCGAGGCGGACCTGCGGAAGCACCTGGCGAGGCACTCCAAGGCGGGGCGGCACGCGTGCGGAGTGTGCAGCAAGCAGTGGACTTCGGCTGCGGATCTGAAGAAGCACGCAAGGATCCACACCGGGGAGAGGCCGTACCAGTGTGACGAGTGTGGGAGGAAGTTTAACCAGGAAAGCAATCTCATTGTGCACAAGAGGATTCATTCTGGAGAGAAGCCGTACCAGTGTGACGTGTGTGGGAAGAAGTTCAGTCAGGATAGTAATCTTACAAAGCACAAGATGATCCATACCGGAGAGAAGCCATACGAGTGCGACGTGTGCTCCAAGAAGTTCACCCAGCTCTGCACTCTCACTCGGCACGGCAGGATTCATTCTGGTGCAAAGCCCCGCGAGTGATCGTGTGTGCGAAGAAGTTCTCTGATCCCTCACATCTTCGCCGCCACGAGGGTTTTCATGCTGGAGAGTAGTAACCCAGCGAAGAGCTGCACTGTAAAAAAAGTATTACTGAAATTTCATAATTTTAGTCTGAAGTTTTTAAACAGACTAGTGGTCTGAAAATTCAGAGTAATTATTCAGACCATTCTGTCTGAATTCCAAATTCAGACTACTTGTCTGAAAAACATTTTCAGACTGCTACTCTGAAATATTAAATAAAAGTGCCATATTTTAATCAAAGAGAAAGAAATCAACAAGAGAACGATATGAACCACCAACGTGTGACGGTACCTCCTTTCCACTTTTCACTTGTTCGCTTCGGCCCGGGTTCGAACCGGGACTTTTTGGATACGAGACGAGCTCGGTACCACTGCGCTACGGGCGCTGCCTGGCGGCGGGGGAAGCCGTGCCGCGTGACTCATTTCAGAGGATACCAGCTCCTTTCGGCAAGTCCAGAATGCAAGTTTGGTTAATCCACTGTACACAGACGAATCTGCGTGAAGCACGGGTGTACATTATTATTTCCGATTAAATTTATACAGCGCCTTACGCCTAGACTTGATTAGTAGACAATCTGTCAAAATTTTCATACCAAAATTATGAAAATAGCTTTCAGGATGACAAGTCTGAAAACTTTATCAGAATTTTCAGACCTTCTGCTAAAAATTCAGACTAACCGGTGTGATCTCAAATTTCAGAGTTCCTAGTCTGAAAATTCAAAGCAACTATCTGAATTACCGATTCAGACTGCAAAGTCTGAACAAATTGTACTGAAATTTCAGAATTTTTTTTACAGTGTGTGCTAGTGCGACGTTTCTTGACAAATGTTAAAGCTTTGGAGTGGGATGTGTGCAGAGGGTGTTCTCTCTAATCTTTAAGTCCATGCTAAGTTCCTAATTTTAGTTTAAATCTGCAAAAAAAGTCTGCAGCCTTGGTAGCAGTGCCCTTAATTGTTTGCGTCTTTTTTTCTAATGAATTAAAAGATGTTCCTTGAAGAATATTCGGTTCAATAATTAGTGTTTTTTTTGTGGGTTTGCTTGTGAATACTTGAATTTTTGTGACAGTTCCACGGTTCAAAGTGTTCAAGCCAACGCCTTTACTTGAACTAAGTAAGGTGTCCGTCCGCTTGGCCTCTCGCATTCCAGGAACGTGACGCCACGTTCCAGCGGTCGTGACAAAATGTCACGTCTTGTCACCTTAGTTTGAGCACCGTGGCACATTCGTAATTGTCAATAAGCTAATTTATGACTAATTTACATAGGTACGAATGAGACAATGCTGAAACAAACGTGGCATTATGTCACATTCGTCCAAATGCGAATAAGCTAATTTATGACTGATTCGTATCGGAACGAATGTGACAGAATGCCGAAACGAACGTGGCGTTATGTCACATTCGTTTCTGCAATGAGAGTTACCTTGTGACGATGCCGGAATAAGTATCGTTTAGGCGTTGGAGTTTTTAGTGAGCGAAGCCATCATTGTGAGTCTCGTCGCTCTCCGCTCCGCTATGCTAAACTCTTCTCGACGTGATTCCGAGTGCAACGAAGCACCGTCGTCCAGGACTTTGGCCGTTTTCGTCAAGCCAATTGTTCGCGGCTCACTTTTGTTGTCATTATTTGTGTGTCTTCTGTCTGTGTTTTTCCAGGTCTTATTTATGTGTATTGTTGCAGGTCCAGGGCTGCGTGCGCGGCGAAGGAACGCCAACTTTGTTCACACTTTAGTGGCTTTTTCGCAGCATGCGCTTTCCAGCATGGAACCAACCTTATGTTATCTGTGTATCTCATGATTTTAAGGAAATAAAAGTCCGAAAATTGGCTGTCCCTTGTGAATACTGTCTTAATGTCAACAACTGAGAATGTTCAATTACACCTTGTCGGGTAGTTCTGCTGGGCAGGTGTTTTGCATGGCTTCTTGCATGGGTTGCCTGTGGCGTGTTCCTGTGGTTCGCTGGCCGAGTCTCTCCGCGTCCACGGCTTCCTGCGGCCCAGCCCGCCGCGAGGACTGGGAGACTCGCCCGGCGTTGGCCGCACGTTTTGGCTGGCTGGTTTCTGAAGTCCGCCTTGCTTGCAGGTTCCGTGAAGGCGGAGGACCTGGAGGCGCCTGGAGGACGCGACTGCGGAGCGGACGAGGACGCCGGCCCTGGGGACCAAGGTGGGTGGAGTGGCGACGCGTGGACCGCCGCGGCGGCCGGAACGCTGGCACGCTGGCTTACACTACTTGGGCAAACAGTCGATTTAGCTTTGCAATCTGGGCGTTGATTTTCACTGTTTTAATTTGGATTAATTTTTCCTCCATGCATTGCTGCGCTGTGTGGTTGAACGGGAAACGTTGTTGCGAACCGTATCCGTGTCACTCGTGTAAACTTGGAATGTCGTTTTGAACGCGAGCCCTCGAACCCCGTCGCCGCACAGTCGGTGTAGAGTGCGAGTCCTGAGTGCAGCAGCTTTCATTTTGTGATTGTTGAGGGTCGCTTGGACACAGCGCCGAGTAGTGTTCTAAAGGGTAGGAATATTCCCGGGAATTTAGGGAATTTCCGGGAACGTTCCCGGGCACAATCAAACCCCAAAAATGGGAAATTCCCGGGAATTTAAAAAATGGCGAAAAACAGCTGTTTTTTTGCAAGAAAAATGTAGAACACGCAAGGTATCAAGTAAAAATTATGAAACACATGAGTGTATTTCCATTTTTCTTTCAGAAGGGAACAAAACAAAACGTTTTGTAATCAAAAATTAGTTTTCTATCACAAAATTTCGTATTAAAAAATTTAACTTTTATCAAAAGTGATGGGTTTCATATGAAGCAATGTTCCCGGCCAAGTGGGAATATTCCCGGGAATTCCCGGGAAGTCTCGGGAATATTCCCCTGAATGATTGTTCCCGGGAATTTTCGAACACTATAGCGCCGAGTAACTGCAAGAAACGGATTTCATGCAAGGGGCGAACCTTGCAACCACGACATGTTACATAGCATGCCGCATTCAGGAAATATTGCCTGGTTTTGCCTTGCATTAGCATTTTTCTTCGGTACCTTTGAAACACACACGAAGACATTTCTCTGTGCTTTCCAATCAGTAACTTGCGTGACTCCTCTACACTTAATCACTATGTTGGTGGTGATGCACGATTTTAAACCTGCGTCACGTTTTGCGTAAAATTGTTCACAAATTTGCATAAATTAATGCATTTTCACGCATAATATTATGCAAATCCCCCGCATGCACAAAATCGTGCAAGTGGTACGTACAAAATTCCACATAAACATTAAGCGTGTATGCATTGCGTATGACGAGGGGGCCACCACTCTCATTTCAGTCGTACACAAGATTACGGGATTACGGAATATTTACCAGGGATTACGCGTGAAATTTTCGAAAACTGGTTCGAAAACGTTGAAAAATAGCTCAGAAACGTTGAAAAATGACTAAAAACGTTGAAAAATGACAGAATTTTGTGAAGGATTACGTGATTACGCCATGGATATCCAGAGATTACCAGCCAATTTGTACACAGGATTACGGGGGTGGTGGCCCCCTCGGCGTATGAGCCTGCACTGAGATTCCGAACGCTATGAGTATAGCACGTATGGTGCAAAACAGCTGAGATATCGCACCATACGTGCAATGCCTCAGACATTTTGCACCTTACGTGCAGTGCATCCCGAAAATGCTCTATGCTAATGCATGGGAATGGGGAGGCATTGCACTTCATGTGCAATGCTTTTGCATTGCACCAATTGACGCTATACTCATAGCGTTTGGATTCTCAGTGTGGGTTCGAAGGGCCTGTAAATGGCTATTTTTTCCAAGTGAGTGGCAAGGACTGCTCCCCTGGTGGATCGTTCGGACCGGATCCGGACGGACGCGTTGCGTCCAAAATGTTTCAAATAGGACCGTTTGCGGACTGCGTCCCTGCCACGTCCTTCGGCGTCCATAAAGGTTCATAAAGGTCCTAAAAGGGTCCGTGTGGGTCGGGTGGCGTCCGTGGGGCGTCCGCACTGGGTCCTTAAGGGTTGGTGTGGCGTCCACACTGCGTCTGTTTGGGCCTGTAAGGCGTCCGTACTGCGTCCGTTGGAACCCGTGGAGCGTCCGTACTGCGTCCGTACTGCGTCCGTACTGCGTCCGTACTGCGTCCGTTGAAACCCGTGGAGCGTCCGTACTGCGTCCGTCGAAACCCGTGGAGCGTCCGTACTGCGTCCGTTGAAACCCGTGGAGCGTCCGTACTGCGTCCGTCGAAACCCGTGGAGCGTCCGTACTGCGTCCGTTGGGGTCCGTAGAGCGTCCGTGATGCGTCCGTTGGGGTCCGGGGTTGGCGTCCATCCTTCGTCCACAAAGGTCCAGCCAGGGTCCGAAGGGGTTCTTATGGACGCTTATGGACGCCAACGGACTTACTTCAGACTTTGTATGCATGGACCCACAAGGACGCACTTCGGACCCTGGTTGCGACCACTCGTTGGAAAGGTCTTACCAAGACCCGTTCAAATCTGCAATAAAAAAAATTGTTGGTCACCCCCCCCCTTTTTTCCCCAAAGAGTTTAGAAAAATGTATCTTCAAAAAAGGGGGGTGACCAACAATTTTTTTTATTGCAGATTTGAACGGGTCTTGGTAAGACCTTTCCAACGAGTGGTCGCAACCAGGGTCCGAAGTGCGTCCTTGTGGGTCCATGCATACAAAGTCTGAAGTAATCCGTTGGCGTCCATAAGCGTCCATAAGAACCCCTTCGGACCCTGGCTGGACCTTTGTGGACGAAGGATGGACGCCAACCCCGGACCCCAACGGACGCATCACGGACGCTCTACGGACCCCAACGGACGCAGTACGGACGCTCCACGGGTTTCGACGGACGCAGTACGGACGCTCCACGGGTTTCAACGGACGCAGTACGGACGCTCCACGGGTTTCGACGGACGCAGTACGGACGCTCCACGGGTTTCAACGGACGCAGTACGGACGCTCCACGGGTTTCAACGGACGCAGTACGGACGCAGTACGGACGCTCCACGGGTTCCAACGGACGCAGTACGGACGCCTCACAGGCCCAAACAGACGCACAGACGCAGTGTGGACGCCACACCGACCCTTAAGGACCCAGTGCGGACGCCCCACGGACGCCACCCGACCCACACGGACCCTTTTAGGACCTTTATGGACTTTTATGGACGCCGAAGGACGTGGCAGGGACGCAGTCCGCAAACGGTCCTATTTGAAACATTTTGGACGCCACACGGACGCGCGCGTCCGTCCGGATCCGGTCCGAACGATCCACCAGGGTCAGTAACGCCTTGTTGCTTGCAGGCGCCGTGGAGGGCGAGGACCTGGAGGCCCCCAAAGCTGAAGGGCGGCACTGCGGAGCGGACGGCGGCTGTGGAGGCGAAGGTGAGTGGAGTCCTCGCGGAGCAGTCTGGAATGCCTCGGCCTGAGGGGGTGGGATACTAAGTTAATAAAATAGTAGGGTCCAGTTTCACCGGAGAGAACCCGACGAGCTCCTTGCCCCAATCACTGCTAAAATCTGTTGGCACCATTTGACAGAATCGTGAGTGGTGGATGACATCGTCATCACTTGCAAAGTGTGCATTTTCACTAGGACTCCTAGTGCACGGGGCTGAGAATTTTGTCATGACATCCTTCAAAAGGAAACTTGCCTTAAAATCGTCTTTAAGTGAAAGCCAATATATTTATAGTAAATCTATTCAAAAGTGTTGTTTCCACTATCCAGCGGTTATATACTTTCACGGGACTGACATTTTACTTTGTCCTTCTCTTGCCCGTTCTGCCCCCCACTCGGCGTTGCAGGCCCCGTCCCGGCGGAGACCCCGCAGCTGGTCATCAGCGGCACCTTCTCGCTGGCTGGCCCGGCCGGCGGTGCGGGGCAGGTGGAGCAGGCCTCGCGGCGGCAGCGAGGCGGGAAGGCGCGGCTCGCGTACAAGTGCGGGGAGTGCGGCAAGAGTTTCCGGGCCGAGGCGGACCTGCGGAAGCACGTGGCGGGGCACTCCAAGGCGGGGCGGCACGCGTGCGGAGTGTGCGGCAAGCTGTGGACTTCGGCTTCGCATTTAAAGCAACACGAAAGGATCCACACCGGGGAGAGGCCGTACCAGTGTGACCAGTGTGGGAAGAAGTTCATTCTTAGCCAACACCTCACTGTGCACAAGAGGACTCATACTGGAGAGAAGCCGTACCAGTGTGACGTGTGCGGGAAGAAGTTTATTCAGGATCGCGATCTTACGAGGCACAAAA